CTCTTCCTTTTTTCTTCCATTTGTCCTTTTCCTTATCCAAGAAGGATGAGCTTTAGTGCTCATCCCGGTAGTTGAAACCTACCTTAGCCTTCGTGTACTGCTTTTGCAGATCACCAAGATCAGACAGAGGAGAGAGCTTAGGACCTTCTCAGATCTCTCTCGGGTATGCACACAGCTCGGGGATACTTTCGTCTTATGGCCTATCAGTGACTTGCTACTCCTCTATTAACATATCAAAGCTTTTAAAAGCCCCTTACAGATATTTCTTTCCCCAGCTTTTGCATTTAAGCTTTTGTTAGGTTATTGTTTCCCCACCTTCTATCACTTCTTTAAGCAATAGATAACGACAGTTTTTGACAAACATTCCCAAGAAAAACTTCTGTCTGCAGTGAAGGACTTCTGATTAGGTCAAATAAAAGCAGGTTTTTCGAGTTGTCTTTTCTAGGAAATTATCATGCAGCTTAAACAATGGAAATTCTTTGACAATGGAGCTTGGCAAGAGGTCCAGCCACATTCTCACCCCTCCAGCAGTAGTCAAACTGTTAGTTTTCACTGTGATTGTGGGGCTAATAGAAGGCACTGGGATTCAGACAAGTTAAAATAGCACAAAACTTATACTGTCATCACCAGGGTTCAGTCATTTCTCTTGCATAAATGCTTTTTGAATTCTTATAAACCTCTAGTCAATTTTATAAATAATATATTTTCAGAAGTACTACTCTACTATTTCTGGTGATCTCATGAAAAGTCTATTTTTGAGTTAATTAAAAGTTTTTCTTGGGCTGGCCAAATAGCTCAGCAGATTAAAGCACTTGCTTAGGCAGACACAGGGGCCAGGAGTTCAATCCTCGGCCTGCCATGCAGGCCCTGGCCCAGGAGTGTGCTGAGACTGGCAATTGAGACTGGGTGTGGTGGCACATGCCTGTAATCCTAGTACTTGGGAGGCTGTAAATAGGTGGATCACTGCGAGTTCGATCTAATGCATTGAGACCCTGTACACCCTGTGCACCCTGTCCTAAATGCAAAGAAAAAAAAAGAGTGTCCTTCGTGTCACAAAATGTACTTTAAAAATTTATAATGTATATGTAAAATACCTGTTTTTAATCTTGGACAATGATATCTGACAAATGATTCTCACTTTATCAAAATACATCATGAAATGGCTAATGTCTATGAATTAGACATTTCATTACTTTTCTTATTGTTGAGACAAAATACACAACACCTAAAGTTAAAAGAGAAAAAGTTTATTTGGCTCACAGTTTGTAGAGGTTTCAGTCCATAATTGGTTGGCTCCAAGGCAGGGTGGCATGACAGAGGGGCATCACTGTGCAGGTAGGAGGCTGCAAGAAGACAAGAAATGGCAGCAAGTGATGAAGCGGCACTCCTTCTGCCTCTTACATTTTGTCCAGGCTACCACCAGTGGGGCAGGTAGCACTCACAACGAGGGTGGGGCCCCCTTCATCACAGCATCCCGGCCTGAATGCCAGCATCACACACGCCAGATCCAGCCACCTCAAAGTGCCCCACCCATGACCACAAGAAGCTGAGCGGGGTGGTTAGACACAGACCGTAGCAGACATGATGGCTAACGTCCATGAAATGCATTTAATATTGGATTGCATAATCATGCAGAGAAAATCCTTAGCAAGGGAGTAAACCAGAACATAGTAATAGGGGTGTAGGCATTTGGTTAAGTATAGGCCCTCGAGATTCTGAATGTGTGTGTCAGCACGATTCTGCTCTGCTAGTGTGAGGACATTAGCAAATTCTGGGCTTAGTCTGTGCTTTGGTTTCTCCATCTATAAGATGACCTGACAATAGTACCTCTGTAGTAGGTCTTGTAAAATGAGTAATGTTTGTGAAAGCCAAGGGAAAATGTAATGTCTGGCATGAAATGTTTAAAATATAGTAGTTATTATTAGAAAGCCATTGACAGATGTTTTACTATAAAAATCTAATGCTGAGTATTTATGTCAACTCCACAGCTGTCTGACTCGTGTTCGAGTTTTCTCTCTTTTTGCTTTGTATGGTTCTGCACAATGCAGCAGGATTAATATTCCTATAGAATATTGTATTATTCTGCTGCCCCATAAACCTAGGTGTCCTTTGCCATCACATTTACCTAAATGCCAGCCTCCTGTCAGCAAGCGTAACTCTTATTTTCTGTAGATCAGACTTAACCTAAATTTTTTGTCTGTTTTTGATCCATTGGCCAGATATGCTGATAATCCAGCCAAGTCAAACCATCCCTCTTCTAAATGCTTCTAGATGCTTCCCTCCATGTTTATGTTTGATCACTAGTACCTGGAATCGTTTTCTGTCTGTGCTGCAGGAAACTCTGTGCTCTTCTCCACTTAAGTTCTCTTGCTGCTGTTCTCCCCACTGGCTCCTTTTCCTACATGAATGCTTGACACCACCAGACCCGATGCGCCCACTTAACCTCATTACACTGCTTTGCCCCCTCCATTCATTACTGATGAGTGAGCCGTGATGTCATTAGGTCTGCTCGTATCTCATTTTTGTTTGTGTATTTTGCCAGGACTCCTTGCATGCTTGTACAAAAATGATGTCTAGAAAGCCGTATTTTCAGAATGAATGCTGATATTTTGAGAGGATTCTCAAACATCCACTTATTGAAATTATCCTCCCCCTCCTTTCAGCATTTTTGGGGACTGAACCCAAGGTGCTTGCACTGAACCACATTCCCAACCCTTTTTAATTTTTTAGTTTTTAAGCAGGATCTCACCGAGATGCTAGGTTACTCAGGCTGGGCTTGAAGTGATCCTCCTGCCTCAGCTTCCTGGAATGTTGGGCTGATTTTTTTTTTTTGTTGCTTTTCATATTAATGTTGTTTATAAAAATACTTTAGCTATCTAAGTTATCTACCACGTTAATTGTTTTATGCTTTATAGGTTCCTCTCTGGTTTCCATCGAAAGTGCTGCGGAATCCAGTTTTCTGTCATATCTAGTTGAACCTCTTAGAAGCAAAACCAATTTTTGGATAGGATTGTTCAGAAATGTTGAAGGTAATATTGGAAGAACCACTTTATAATTACAAGCATTTAAAAATATTGTGTATAAAACAAGGTTTCACCTCCAGAAAGTCTTAAGTAATGGTCAATATGTGATGAATTTGAAATTTCAAACTTATTGTTATTTCAGATAAAAACTTCAAGTTTGAATGAATCATGTATTTATTATTCTCAAACCTGCTAATTAAATTTTCTTCTGTAGTTTAAAGACTATTTAAGGAACATTTTCCTTTTCTTGCCAGCATGAAAAACCTAGGGAAGGATAAGTATAAATATTTATAAAATTAGAAATAAATTTTCAGCTAAAACTACATAATAAACATATTCCTGTTGGTATGCTTCTCTGTAATAAGTCATTATAATCTTGACTGTTAAAAGACTACTTGTAAGAAATTCTTAATTGGAGTAAAGAATGATGTGCTTAAAAGTTTGTGCCAATAAGCAGAACTTAAAGTGGGTTATTTCTAACTTTGGTTTCCATTGGTTTTATTTGATGATCAGGAAAATGGATCTGGTTAAACAACAGCCCGTTAACCTTTGTCAACTGGAACTCAGGAGATCCCTCTGCTGAACGAAGTGATTGTGTAGTTATGGCTGCCTCTTCTGGGGCTTGGACTAATATTCATTGTTCTTCCTACAAAGGATTTATTTGTAAAAGACCAAAAAGTGAGTAAGAAGCTTGTGGTACAGTGTGCATGTTCAAAGGCCACCATTTCTTTCAAACAGTCCCATGCCAGGTGTGGGATTATAGAGGTCCACTGTGAGCCGGGGAAGCTTGCCTTTTATCAATGTGACAAATCCATTCCATCCAGTCTATTGCTGCCTACAGCTTTGAATGAAGAAGCATCCTCTGCCTGTCTAGCAATGCTGCCTGTTGACCCAGTAAGGTACCCTTGAGTATAGATTTGCTCATGTACAAGCAGCTGGGGCAGCCCATCTACGAAGCCTTTGGACACTAGGGAGCAGCATAAGAGGCCAGGACTGGAGAGGCCTTAGATTTGAGTATGGAAAAAGTCACAGGACACCAACTGCAGCTCCATCTGAGATGGCGTGAAAGACCTTGGCAAGAAGAAGTGGGAAAATGAGTAGTGTTAAGTGCTCACGGTGTGCCCCTGTCTGAACTTAAATAACCTGTCATTGCCATTTTATTTGATATCTTACCTAAGAGAGAAAGTTATTAATGAGATAGAAATTTAATTAAATGAATCAGATAAGCAAGTTATGTTCCCTCAAGAGGTTTTATCCAATTTTTAGCCTTCTTCAACTCTGTTTTAACATTTTATACCCTCTGGTTCAATGTTTTTTTTTTTTAAATTTTACTTTTCACACAAATACCTCCTAATGCCTTGAGTTTCAGTGGGCCCATTTCAAAATCCCCATCCCAGAGTAGTTGACTGATGGGTAGGTTGAGTAGATTTTAAAAAAAGTATCAGTGTTAAAAATGCAGCATGGAGGATCACTGTTTTAGATCTTAGAATGTACTCAAACTCACTGTGTAGTTGTAGGTTGCTGTTGCAGAGTAGCTAGCTAAATGGATGGAGGATGGACAGATCTTTTTGCTAGCTGTATCTCCAGCTTTGTCCATGTATCTATCTATCCATCCGTCTCTCTATCCATCCATCTATTGATCCTCCCATTCATCATATTATGTTGTCATAAGTCAAATATAAAGGATTCCTTGTATCTCCGAGGAAATAAAATTTATTATCTACTATTTTTGCTTTTTATAAATATTTATGGCTTTTTATTTCCAGTTATTGATCCTGAACCAACTCGAATATCAACTACAGCCACAGGTAAGACAATTATGAAATTTCAGGTTTGAAAAACCATAATAGTCCCTTCCTACCCCTCCTGAACCTTTAGTAAAGTTGCTTGAGCTAAGTATCCTTCATCATTAATGTGCATCATTATTCCACTGTGAAGTAATGAGCCAATAAAGAGTACTGACAGTCTGAATTTGGGGGTCCTGGGTGGACTTTCCAAGAGCAACACCAAAGGAGAGCCTGAGTACAGTTGATTGAGCCAAGTCTTTTATGGATAGTGTAGGGTGTTAGTGCAACAGGCTTAGGTGGGCATGAGATTGGGGCCACAACAGTGGCTGAGTATGTGGCTGAAGCAATGAATGCTGCAACCCCACTGGTGGGGCTGGTGTGTCCAGCCTAAGCAGAGTAAACCTAATTCCAGGGCTTGGTGGGGAAACTACGGGATTAGGAACAGGCTGTGATTGTTCTTGAAGCTCAGGAATTTGGAAGTGGTGATGGTGGTGGGACTGTTGCTCATGGAGGTCAGACCTGTCACCCACTTTAAATAATATTTTAGAAAAATGGGACTTGAAATGGATTGGTGTTTTTGTTTTCCAAAGTTATTGAAGACATTGCTTGCTGTTTTACAAAGCATTATTTGGAAAATCATGGAAGAAATTTCTCTTAGGAATCTTTGGTAGCTCTTTTCTATTTTTAGCAGGTTTTTGTTTGAAGTTTTATAGATGATTTGAATTCAGGAACTTTGATGTTGTTGGCTGCTAAAAAAAAGAACTTCACTAAGATTTATCACTTCCCTATAACTCCTGTCTTACTATAATGTGTTTGTGAGCAGGTCAACTTATTTTGAAACATGGTGTGTATATACATATATGAAATGTATATATTCATATAACATATTTATATATTTTAAACTATTTCAACGTTCATAAACAAAATATTCTTGCAACTAAATAGTCATATTAACCTTTTAAATAACTGCATATTATGTTGGGTCTTATTTTTAAGTCTTCCATTTCTGTTTGGTATCCCTTGAGAGAAAACCTCACGCATTTCACTTTTTCAAGAAAGCAATTTGTATTGTTTTATATCACATCCAACACTCTTTCTCCCTCCACTTGTTTTCTAATGATTTTATTCATTTATAGCTGATGCCAGGAAGATGGAGCCTTCCAAAAGATCTTCCAGTTCAGCAGGAGTGGTGGTTGTTGTGGTCCTCCTGATCGTAATGGGTGCTGCGCTGGCTGCCTATTACTTTTATAAGAAGAGACAGATGCACATACCTCAGGAAACCACCTTTGAAAATACTCTCTATTTCAACAGTCATTCAAGTCCAGGAACTAGTGACACAAAAGATCTCATGGGAAATATTGAACAGAATGAACATGCAATCATCTAGTGTGGTAACATCATGTTGTTACATTTGGATTTTATAAAATTGTAACTAAAATTTTGAATTTTTTAATTCAATGTGATTGTTTCTTTTAAAAATTAGTACTGCAGTGTATTGCTTTGTCCCCTTTCTTTGCCTATTGAACAATAATTGCTCATTGTCTAGCCTGGCAAGATATTTTCACAAAAAAGGATACTAATGTTGATGACTACTTTTAAAAATATCTTAGGTGAATACACAGCAGCACAGTGCCAACATTTCAGCACCATTGGTGGGAAGCTAAGGTCAACATCATGCTGGTTAGGAGGATTCCAGAAATGGGCTAGCGAAATAGCTCCGAGGCAGGTACAGCACCTGCCTGGCAAGTACAAGGTCCTGAGTTTGATTCCCAGCACAAAGTCATCCAACCAACCAACCAAACAAACAAACAAGAAGAGTTCCAGAAATAACTATCCAATTTCTTGAAATATTTTAAGGAGCTCCCAAAGGCATGTCACTACTAAACTGTAATGCAGCAATTAGACCATTTTAAAATAAGGACAGATAACCTGAGACAGAATAAAAATTTAGCCAGTTTTTTCTTTTACTAGTGTTGAGATCACTCCAGTTATTTAGGATTGTATTTTATCCACTTGAAGAAGAGTAAGGTGCTGGTGAACCTTGTTGTCACCAAGCAAGACTTTATGAGCTGAATAGTACAAATGTGGTTTTTTTCCCCTGCTCTTATATGTATATGAGAAAGGCAAAGATGTGAAATAGAAATGTAAATTTGCATAACTGGATGTACTTAGATAATGTGAAATGAACATTAAAGACAAGATCTATTTTTAATAGATTTGTATTTTGGTGATATTATTAAGTGTAAATTTGCTTTAAATAATGTTTACCTTACAGTTTACTTTTAAACAGCATTATTAGTAGAAGAATTTGTTAAGTTGAATTCTTCATCTGTTTGGAGAAGGTATGTTGCTCAAACACCATACATCAAATGAGTTCTTCCTCCATAATAAATTCTGCAGTTTTTCCAGTTCTTCCCTTATAACATGAACTCAAAATTCAAAAGTTGAAAGCATTATTACAGAGAAGTAAGACTTATTACCTCCCTTCAGTAATTCCTTTGTGCGTAAGAACCTTGCTTTAGATAAAGCCTTCTGTGTATTATGGAGTGTCTTGTAGCTTTCATGTTCCTGAGATGGTACCATCCTGTCAACCCATTCTGTTACTTTCTTAATGGGCACCACGCAGGCAGAAGTGCTTCACCCAGAGTCACTGGGAAAGCTTTCTTAGATGGCATCAAAAAGACAAGGAGATGCAAAAACATGTTTATTTCCATGTGTGCATTTTATTAGGGGTAGGATGGATAACTACAATTTCAAGAATGTCTGTAATTTTTTTTTTTTAAAAAAGGATTAAGAAGCATTCAACTGAGTAGAGAATATGACGGGCTTCCCAGTACCCCAACTTGTATAGGTGGCAGGGAGAAAGAAACAAGAAATGAGAAGTGGACAATTTGGGGAAAGCTTGTTGTGTACAGAGTACTCCGTTCTGCACCTCAAGTAATAGAGAACAAATTACTTTTCATTTTCTTGGTAAGAAAAAGGTATGTTCCATTAGAAGAATTCCCAATGGAAACATTGGCTACATCAACAAAGCAGTGTATTATGAATTACATCGTGTGTGTGTGTGTGTGTGTGTGTGTGTGTATTTGTGAGTGGACTGTATGTATGTAAGAATCTCCCCTCCAAATACATGACAGTTAAAAATGTGGAATATGAAGAAATACATGAGAAAGTATGGTTTATGAATTCTTTATACAAGTTTTCTAATTATTATTCAAGGCGGTATTTTCACAGAAAATATTTCGGACTCTGAAGAACTCGTATCTCAGACTCAAATATCTTATCATTTCAGGAAACAATATGTGTTTGACAGGGTTTCTGAGTATTATACATCACACTCTCAGATTATCTGCTTGAATACATACTCAAATAGATCAATCATGTATGTTTACATATCTATCCAAACACAGTGCTAAAATATCAAAGATATATTTTGGGATGAAGTAATAAGGTATAAAAGAGTAATCTCTGTGTTGTTTGTCTAATTCATTTGTTCTTGTACTTGATTGTTGTAGTTTATTTGTTGTTTTTCTTTTTAAGCAGGATGTTCTCTCTAGGGGTTTTGTGTTTAAGTGCTATTGCTTTCTTCACTGGCTTTGCATTTGTTTTAGGTTTTCATCAGAATCTAGCAGCTAGCAGATAACATAATGGTGTTTTTCTTCAGAGGAGCTCAAATAATGTGAATAGTCTGTAACTTGAACTCAAAAAATAAAGGTGATGTGTAGAGAGACTGGAGGACTTGACTCATATTTTTTGTATTTATTTATTCACATATCTGTGCATTGATCAAATTTTTCATCAAATAGTTCTGTTTCTTGAGCATCTGATTTATGTGCGGGCCATTGAGCTAAGCCCTGTAGATTCACATATAGATAACAAGCATGAACTGTTGACAAGAAGGGTAGTCTGGAGTGAGCTGGGTCAGACGTGCAAGGATCATTTTACGCCACTCTGGAGGAAGCACTGGTAGGCTGTGTCAAAGGTCTTCATGGGGGAAGCGAAAGATACAGCTGCAATGTCAGCAGAAAGACAGTCACCACTTTGTGGGCCTGGAGATGATATTTTGAGGGCCCTCATTAAGATAAATAATACCAAGGTGGATATAAAAGCGAGCATTCATAGAATAGGAGAAAAATCCTGAGAAATTATAAATTCTTGAAAGCTGGCAACGAACATCACACATTGAGGACCACTACACATTATTCATTTTTTGATACCTAACTTTCTGATGTTCTTCCTATATATTAGTTTGCTAGGGTGGACCAAAGAGAGTATTTATGATGGCTTAAGCAGTAGAAATTTATTTTCTTACAGTTCTGGAGGGTGAAGTGTGAGGTTGAGGTGCTGGTGAAGTTGATTCCTTTGAAGCCTCTGTCCCTGCCTTGTCCATAGCCTTCCCTTTTTGCCTCTTCTCATGGTTGTCCTTCTGTGACTGTGTTCCTTCTGTCCTAAGTGCTTTGTACAAGGACATGAATCAGACTGGACTCCAGCTCCTCCTCCTGACTACCCCATTTTAACTTAAGCACCGCTTTGAAAGCTATACATTCATAATTCCAAATTAATGTGAAAAAGAGCTTCAACATACAAATTTCAAAGGTGCAAAATTCAGTCCAGGCTATTCTATTTTGATTGTGCTTTGTATTTACCCAATTGATCTAGAGAAACAAATAGGAGATAGAGCAAGAAAGAGAGAGATTGTGCTATTATTACCTGTCTAATCTACCTATCAATCTAGAGAAAGTTGTTTTAAGGAATTGAATCACATGACTTTAGAGGCTTGGAGACCCCAAAATTTATAGGCCAGGCCTGGCAAGATGGATATCATGGAAGACTTGCAATGCAGGTACACTTTGCTGGTGCTCAACCTGTGAGGAGGTCAGTGATTGCTCTATTGAGGCCTTCAATGGACTCGATGAAGCCTATCTATATTGCAAAGAGTAATCTTTTTAATTTAAAATCCACCAGTCAAAATATTTATTGTATTTAGTACAGGGAGTACAGGGTCTCACTCCCTGTACTCCCTGTAGAGTAGATTGGATGCATAGTGATCCTCCTGTTTACAGCCACCTAAGTGCTGGGATTACAGGCACGCACCACTACGCCCAGTCTCAGTCACAGTTTCAGCACATCCCGGGAGCGGGGCTGGCACTGCAGGTCTGGGGATTGAACTCCTGACCCCTGTGTCTGCCTGCCTAAGCAGGTGCCTTAATCTGCTGAGCTATTTGGCTGGTCCCCACCAATCAAAATATTAACCTTGCCCAAAATAGCTTCACAGAAACATCAAGAATAATATTTGACTGAGTATCTAGTGCTGTAGGACAGCCAAGTTGTTATATAAAATTGAACATCAAACTCCTTTAGTGGCAATAGATTTTTGTTTGTATTGTAGAGGGAATAGAAAGATAATTCTGTGTTTGGTCTAATTAGTTGGAAATTAAAAAATATATATATACGAAGCATTAAAAAGTTTCACCTACCAATTTTATTAATAATTGTGAAATTTTAGGATTAGAGTCAAATATGGTTAAACTACCAAATTGTTGTTATTTAAAGCATTAATATTTCAGGCTACTGGTTTTGAGGGATATGTGGATAAAATGAGTAATCTTAATTAGCTTTAGATTTGATGATATTAATCTAGTTTTGATTTCTTTTTATAATGGTACATTTCTTGGTTTGTCCTCTTGCCCTAGCAAAATGCCTGGGTCTGAGTAATTTATGAAAGAAAGAGATTTAATTTAGCTCAGAATTCTAGAGGGGGGACATTCAAATAGGTACGGGCATCTGCTTGGAGGCTAGTAAGACCCTGATGGTAGTTCCACTCATGGTGGAGACGCAATAGGAGTTGCAAGAGGAGGAGGGTATGGCAGAGAGACAGAGGTGAGGCAGACCCACTTTTGTGGTGACTGATCCAGTCTTGTGGGATCTAATTTACTCCAAAAAACTTTAGTCCCCTCCAGGGAACTAACACAGTCTTTCCATAAGAGACACACAACCACAAGGGCAGAGTGCCATGATCTAGTCACCGCGCACAGAGTCCCATGGTGTAAAGGCTCCCTGTTCTCCACGCCTTTACTTTGGGAAACAAGTCCCAGCATGTGAACCTTTAGGGGTCACCTCTTATCCAAAGCTTGGCAACGGGCAATTTTGGTGGTTTGTATTTAAGTCTTTTCCCAGTGTGTGAAAATGATTTGCTTACCTTCATTAACTAAATTGTCATATACCTAATGTTATTGTCACAAATTTATTTGAAATTTCTGTGTTTTTAGTCATAAGTTACCAACTTTTTGGAGTGGTCTGAAAATTCCACTGTTACTATTTTTTTTCCTGAACTGAGAATAATCTCTATTATTTTTACAATTATTTTTTGCCTTGTTTCATATTCACACTAACCTTACTGACATTTTCTCCTAAACTTTTAATACATTTAAAATGGTGAAATAGTATAAATTCTGTACATCCAGAGTTGCATTCCTCTAGTTTCTATAGAAAAATTTCTGATTTGATTTAATTGAAATGTTCCAAGGAGGCTTTTCCAAATTTCAGTTTAAGTGGTGTGTCTGATTAAGCTCTAATACCACCTTCTCACTGGGGTAGAAGAAAAGAAAACCATGAAGTGGTTTTCATAATTGTCTACACTGTTACTGACACTTTCTATTTTCACTAGGCATTGTGGATAACTGACAACTTGTTTTATTTTGATATTCTGCTGAGTTTCTCTAGAGTTGCTGGAGCATTCACACCTTTCTAACTTTGTTTCTCCTGTAATTCCCACTTGCTTTGAGCCAGGGGACAGAAGGATAGATTAATACTGCTCTACAAAGCCCATTCTAGTGCATGAGGGATGGCTTCATACAGGCACGGCAGACAGGTTTATCTCTAGGAGCCTTGTGTAGAGTGACTTTTTTGATGTCCATTTTTCTCAGTCAATCTATGATGGTTACTGTGCAAACATTTATGTCCAAACATAAATCCAAGCATGCCAGAGAAATATTGCAGAAGGCAAGCCCTGGTCAGATAGTTTCATGTTAGGGAAGTAAGCTGGAATGGGCCTGACTTAGTCAAAAGAGAAGTTAACTCAGTCAGTTGATCAGCTTTAAAATTGGATGTAGATATTTCCTGGGACGTGGAGGGAAAGGGGAGAGCCCTGCCTGAGGAGCACAGCTTTGACCTGAGAAGTTCCAGCCAGTCGCTGATCTTTCTTTTCTGATGACCTGTCTGTGAGCTTCATACGGGCTAAGCCAGTCTGATACAACTAAGCAAGGAACTCCTTGTAATATGTCTCTATATGTGTATATGTATCCATGATCATTAATTTATCTGTTTTGTGTTTCTAGTTGAAACCTAGTTGATAAGCCATTCTGATATTGACAGCTGTGCACATATATTATTTCATTGAAACTCAAACCAAATGTATTTCAAATTCCACATGTGTCTACTAAATTCCCCCAAATGTTCATGGTTATTCTAACTCTATCAAATACAAGAATTGTGATGGAAAGTTAGTTAAAAGGAAAAGTTTAAAACAACTATGTTTACTGTGTCTTACACAAATTGTATTTTAAGCTGAATGTGGTGATGAATGCTTGTAACCTTAGCATTCTGGGAATCTGAGGCAGAAGGGTTCCAAATTCTAGGTCAGCTTGGTCAATGGAGCACCTTACAACTCTTTGTCTCAAAAAATAAAAACAGCTGAGACTATGGGGCAGTGTGCAAGCCATGAGTTCAACTTCCAGTGTCACACACACACACCCCAAAAACCAAAAAAGTTTAGAAAC